GCGACCTGACTTGTACATAAGCGTGATATCATACTCCTGTAACCGCAAGCTCCATCGTGCAAGCCGTCCACATGGGTCCTTGAGATTAGCCAGCCAGCATAGCAAATGATGGTCGCTTATAGCTCGAAAAGGCCTACAATATAAATATGGTTGAAACTTGCTGATAGCCCATACCACGGCAAGGCATTCTTTCTCGGTCACTGAGTAATTCACCTCAGCTTTCGAAAGAGTGCGACTGGCATACGCAATGACTCGTTCTTGTTCGTTTTGCCATTGGATGAGCACGGCTCCAAGACCTAAATTGCTTGCATCCGTGTGGATATCGGTTTCCACTTTTTCGTCACAATGCGCCAGAACAGGATGGCTTTGAAGGCACTTTCGTAGTTCATTGAAGGCATCCTCTTGTTCGGCAAGCCATACACGAAAGGCATTTCCTCTTTTGTCAGCCGCGTCAGTGGTTCAGCAATTCGTGAAAATTTTTTAACGAACTGTCGATAATAGGCGCAGAGACCTGACAATCGCCTAACAGCCTTTTTGTCTGTTGGCTTCGGATATCTTGCTACGGCCTCAGTTTTTGCAAGGTCTGGGCGGACGCCTTCTGCACTGATGACAAGGCCGAGAAAAAAGAGCTCACGGAAGCCAAAATGACATTTCTGCGGTTTTATCGTCAAGTCCGCCGATTTGATCGCCGTGAGCACAGCCCGGAGCCTTTCCAAATGTTGCTCGAAGGTAGCAGAACAGACTACAACATCGTCGAGATAAAACAGAAACGACTGCCATTTCAGACCACAAAGCACTGTGTCCATCATCCGTTGGAATGTAGCGGGTGCTGAACAAAGGCCAAAAGAGAGTACCTTGAACTCGTATAAACCGTCCGGTGTCACAAACGCTGTCTTTTCGCGATCTCTTTCATCAACTTCTATCTGCCAATACCCACTTTTAAGATCCAATGAGGAAAAATGCCTGGCATTTCGCAGCCTATCCAGAGTGTCATCAATTCTTGGCAGAGGATAAACATCCCGTTTGGTGACGGCATTCAGCTTTTGATATCAACGCAGAAACGTAAAGTTTGGTCTTTTTTCTTCACAAGAACAACAGGTGATGCCCATGGACTTGATGAAAGCTGAATTACATCGTCTTTGAGCATTTCTTTAACCTTATTACCAATAGCTTCTCTTTCTCTTGGTGACACTCGGTAGGGATGCTGGTGTATTGGCCTCACTGACTCGTAGACAATGATGCGATGTTTGGCGATAGGAGTTCTTCGAACCTTAGATGACAACGAGAAACATTCGGCGAATTCCCTTAAAAGACCCTCTATTTGCTCTTTTTCGCTTGGTAGTAGGCCTGGCTCGATGTCGATGGCTGCAAGGACAGACTCCACGTCTTCGAAATCAGACTCATTGGTTTCGAAAGTGCGCAGCTCCGTAACCTGGACGAAATCATTCAGACTGGCGATGACGGTTCCTTTTGCAACGTGCTGCACCTCATTTCCAAAGTTTGTGAGTAGAACATTTGCACATCTGTCATGTAACTTAACAAGGCCGCATGCCATGCAGATCCCTTTTTGGAATAGTAAGGCAGTGTTGTTGTCAGCAAATCCTTCGAAATCACTGAATGCTTTGTTGGTTACTGCGACAGATATGCTCGATCTTGGCGGCACCATGACGCTATCATCTGCAATACAAAGGTCGTATACGTTTTCTTCCGTTTCAAAGGTAGCAATCGCGTGCCTAGTCGAGAATGAGACGGAAGATTCTCGCAAATTCATTACAGCGCCTTTAGCTCGTAAGAAATCCATGCCGATAATCAAGTCTCTTGAGCATTCCGGCAGCACAATAAAACTGGCGACGTACGTGAAACCCCGTATTCCGATTCTTGCTGTGCATATTCCAGTAGGGTCGATGAGGTGCCCTCCTGCTGTGCGAACCTGTGGTCCCTTCCAAGGAGTCAGCACTTTCTTCAGTATTTTAGAAAGTCCGCTACTCATCACTGAATAATCTGTGCCGGTATCTACCAGTCCGATGACTTCGTAGCTGTCAACGAACACACGTAAATCAGAAGCAACGTCACTATCGAAGCACCGGTTTCTGAATAGGTCGTCGTTCAGAGTCAGCAATGAAGGTTTTTCTGCATTAGCGTCGACAGCGGCCTTGTCTCCACAGGTCGCTGACTCTAGTTTTCCCAGCGCGGGCTTGGGGAACGAGACCTTGGGGAGATTGCTCAAGGTCGAGGGCTAGGCGATCTATACCTCCCCGTTGTTGTTGCACGAGGTTGGCGTCGTTGGAAGCCACTTGAGGCTTGTCGACCTAACAGGTATTCTTCAATTTCGAAGGGACGTTCACCATTTTGTGGTCGAGGTGCATTAACAGGACAACCACATAGTCCTGCCTGGCGGTAGTGGCACGTTCGGTAGAGATGACCAGGCTCCCCACAGTGGTAACGCAGCGGTATCCTGTCGGGAGTGCGCCAGACATCGATCTTCCTTAGTCTCCTCTCTGGCGTTGGCTGCAGGGTGCTCAATGGCATCGGGTACTGCATAGGTGTAGCCGCCGCGACGTCTGCACGTCCTGGAGGTCCTCGTAGTAGCACATCAGCATACGTCATTCTCGTCTTCTGTTGTAGTGGCGGCCCTCGCTGTGCGTTGCTCGAAAGTTCGCGTACCACCTGCCTGACCTCCTCACGGATCACATCGGCCAGAGACGAAAGCATTGGAGTGTTCTGGTCAAGACGCTGCTTCTGCAGCTCTTCTCGCACAACAGACCGCACCAGCTCGCGTAGTGCTTCCATGCCGTTACCGAAGACTGGTGGCAAAATGTCCAAGGAAGTAACGATCGCATCCCGGTTGTATAACCTTGCTCGCTGTTGTAGAGTCCTTTCCATTGTAGTCGCCTCGAAACGAAACTCGGCGACGGTGCGCGGCGGGCTTCGAATTAGTCCGGCAAAGAGTTCTTGCTTCACGCCTCGCATCAGATGGCGCAGCTTCCTGTCTTCGCTCATATTTGAGTCCGCTCGGCGGAATAGGCGAGACATGTCTTCCAGATACATGGCGACAGTTTCGTTATTTTGCTGATTTCTTGTCTGGAGCGCAGCTTCAGCTCTCTCTTAGCGGTCTGTGTTCGGGAAAGCAGCGAGCAGCTCCCGTCGAAAATCATTCCACGACCAGGAAGTTAGCTTCGTGGCTTTCATACCACGTCCGTGCGCTATCTTCCAGTGCGAAGTAAACACTTCCAAGTTTGCGCTCTTCCCCATATCCGTTAGCCTTTGCGACACGTTCAAAGTGTTCAAGCCAGTCCTCTAAGTCCTCGTAGCTTTCGCTGTGGAAAGGCTTTGGTAGCATTGGCTGGTTTACTACAATGTTGGCTGGAGTGACCTGAGCTGCCATGTCGGTTGCGTACCCGTTCACAGCCATTGATGTTCCAAAGGAAGTCGATAAAGGTGAAAACTCAGGACCCTCACCACGTAGGCGTCGACTACAGCGCTGATGAACAGGCGTCAGCTCGTTGGGTCAAAATCGCTGTGGTTCTGGACTGTGCTACGTCACTCGAGAGGGGCTTGGCATCACACCCAGCACTTCCACCAGATTTGTAACGCACTCTTCAATAAACTCTTTTAATAGGCTAACCTAGGCAGGGCGAACTTATGCCCAAGAATGATAACACAGCTAGATTGTCTCGAGGATTCACTTTTGCCTCTTCTACGTTCTTTTTTTCTAACACGGTTTGCGCGCACCTGGGTCCCGCAGGCTCGTGCGTCGCAAACCATCTAAAGGGCACAAGTATCGGCTTAGCGCGCGTAATTTGAAGTCACATTGTGTCATTATTTTGACCGAGTTTGCCATCTTTTCAGAATTTCTTTGTTTCTGCAGACACCTTAAAAAAAGCGTGGATGTAATTCCCCGAGATGCGTATTAACACAAGAAAAAAAATTTTGACACAACGTTTTCAGTGCACATTTAATTCACCTGTAAAATCGGGAAATGTGGCAAGCTGTAGCGACACGCGAGTGCCACCACTTTCAAACATTTTTTTGGAGTGCTGGAATCAGTTTTTGGAAATAAAATTTTGGTTACGCGCACCTGCACTATACTCACATAACATTGAAAAATGAAAACAAAACAAAAATATTGTCCGGACGCGCATGTTTGATCTCTCTTGGAATCACCTTGCGGTAGAGTAGTATTTGCTTAGTACTGGCGGCTATGGCGCACGTCAGAAGATGCCCATTTGTACTTGTAAACGTGCACTGCCCTTTTGTGCGTGATAATGCTGCTTTCCCGGCTGGTACAAATAAATTATTGAGGTGCCGCTGCATTACTAGATAATCCACAGTTACTCATGTTGGTGTCACCACTTTTGCTGAGAAACCAGAGTGACATCAGTGATGAGAGGAGCACTAGCAAGCCCAATAAATGAACCGAATGACAAGGTGATCATTATTGAACATGTAATTGAACTACACTAGATATGGATGCAGCCACATCTTTTGTATAGCTAATGCTTAGCGTTGCTCAGTCAACTATAATAATCGGCTAGATTTGGCCATTTATGCTTCCAATCGACAATTATCGAGGAATTCGCCGTTTGTGAACAGCCTGGCACAGCAAGTCAGATTGGCGCAACACTTATACCCCTGCACAATGAAAGCATATCCCTCAAGTATTGTGTGTCTTTTCCAGAAAGGAGATGGGGCTCTTCTAAAAACTGGGATGCCTGTCACAGCATCTTCCTGAATGACCCAGCCCAGCGAGACCATGCTCATAGTGCTTTTGGCCCCACCAGAATGCCTTCAAAAAAAGCCGAGGTCATGACCAAGACAAACAAGCACAAGTAAATCAGGTTTGGCAACTAAGAAATGGGCAGAACCAACAGTTACACCTTACACCTCTTTTTTGCTCTTCCCTGCAGACATAGGTGTGCGCATAGGCGTGGGCAGTCGCTCCCCCCTGCCCGCCTTTTCTTATACTATTTAAAGAAGGTTACCAAGGGGCGGCATCTTACAGGTGACAGCTGCTGTGGATGCATGACGACAATGGCCATCAGCTGCCCAGCAGAATTGGAACGCACGACCAGTTGCTTCCAGTAGCCCTGGAAGTTGCTTTCGTAGCAACCAGGCAGCGGGGAGCACTGAATATACTCCTGGAATGACTGCAAGAGAGAATAAGTGCAATGATAATTTCCAACTATGCAAATTTGCCAATAAGCTCACTGGCATGCCTTCAGAACTGTGTCACCCTTAAAATTTATGTAGGTGCTCCAAACAACAAAGGTTGCTCAGGCCCAGAAAAATGCTGTAAGGCAGGCAGAGAGTAAATCTTCATGAGCTAAATGGCGAATTGACTTATTCAGCCTGCTCACGTGAGCTTCAATGCACAAGCAAGCACAGCGATACATGTCCAGGGGCCCATCCCAAAGCTCATTGCCAAACCCTCAAGTATGAAAAAAAAAAGCCTCTCCCTAATGACTTCACTGCGTACTGCGACCACTGACTTGCAAATTTCACTAGTGAGCCACCAATGGCCAAGTTGCAGAATCGAAAAGAAGTTGTTTCTGCAGGTAAAATTTCTATATTTATTTTCAGAGAATGAAACTCTTTGTTGCAATACTAGCCTGGAAATCATTGTTGCGGTTCTAAAACCTGTGCCTGAGTTAAATTTCCAAGACGTTCCCATCTAGACTCGTGGTGTTTTCAATTCGATAGCATTAAACAGCTCGTTTCGCAGAAATTCCAGCATTGGCATCGTTAGTTGCGAGCTAAAAATTGTCCTCTTGTGTGTGACCGAAAAATTTAGAGAGATGCAAACAAAATAAATAATAGAAATTTCCGGATTCGAGTAAGTATCGAACCCAGGCTGTATGTGTGGCAAGCAGGTGTTCTACCCCACAGCCATACACCTGCTGAGAAATACAGTTAAAATAACATTCATGCTTTACAAACACACACATTCTGTATACAGGCTGCAAAACGGAACATGTAATATCGCAATAATGTTGTGTGGCACAAGCATACAATTTCATCGAGTGTGACATTATCACGACAACTTTGTGGTTTAAAGCGAACACAAAAGGGCAACGTTACATTACTTATACGTGCATAGCAAGTTTTAAACGATTTCAGACACATAATTGCTCAGGGTTTAAAGTATCTTACACAGAATGCAGCCATATGCCAAAGCTTCACTGACACCTGTGAAACTCATGTGAAATTCTATGAAAGTGAAGGTGGCTGCAAAAGCACTTTTTTTTTTTTGCTGTCATACAACCATGCCCTTGTGATGCTGGCAGCATAGATGTAATGCCTGCCATGAATGGTCCCCTGAAAATATGTTCCTTCTTTATAAGCCACCTCCAAAAGGAGGTCACTCCTTTTCTGGCAAGAAGTAAAAATATTAAAAGCTCATTTTTCTTTGTTAGACACATTATCAATGAGAACTAACAAGCAATGATAACCAGGAAAGTATAGGGGATGTTATTAGCAGCAATTGCAACATAAATGTGATGAAAATAGAATGGACGAAAACATAACTAAGCGCCAACAGGTACCGAGCCTACAACCTTCGAATAACGAAAATGTGATACTTTGTGCTCCACTATCATGATCTGGCTTTGAGAGGTCCTCAAGCCATTTGAATGATTGGTCGGAGACTGCACATGCTGCATGTAAATCAATACTACAAATATATAAAAGATAAGCACAGAACACATTACTGTCAACTTCGAAGCCCATTTCATATTCGTCACATAGCAATAATTATTTTGTTTTTAAAGGCACCGTAGCAAAGTTGTGAAATACATTAACTCTATTCTAAGGAATGTACTTCCTTAGTATTTCCACGGCAGGTGTGATTTTGTTATAATGAGGTTTGAGTGTACCTAGCACAATTCAATGACTCTGAGCTACTGACAGTGCTGCTTCTCAATTCACTTGCACAATTTTAAATTACATGCTCTCTATTGAAATAAATAGTGATGATGATACTAGTAAAGCTGTATACAGATCACTACCATGTTGTGTTTGAAAAAAAAAATACCACAGCTGGCAAATGTTGACTAGGCTATGTACATAGCTAACGATAAGCAATACCCACAGGCAAACAAATGACATTCAGTAGATAAGGCGTTAGGTTCCTCATGACAATGTTGTTTTTTTTATTGCCCTGACACAAGTGTAAACTTGATGACAATTTAGTTAACAAAGACTTTCTAAATCTGTAATTTCAGGTTAGGATGCAAAGTGCCGACAACTATTAATTAGTACGACACCAAGTCTTTACTTCCACATGCGATTCTCTTATGTGCAGTCGAAACCGTAAGGGTTCATAAAAAAAATTAATCAAGTGAGCTGGCGACACATTCTTTATTCTTTATTCAATGATTACCCTGCTCAGCCCGAAGGCGCTGCAGCAGGGGGGTTACAATGTTGAGAAAAACACATCTTCATTTATGCAGCACACTTGTTCATTAAGTAAGCAATTCCATTTTCTAATGGAACTAACAAAAAATGAATTAGCATACAAATTAGATCTGGCATGGCACTCTAGAATTTTGAAACAATGATCATTTCGCGAAGAAATATGAGGACTGTGAAGGTAATTTTCTTTTCGAACGGCGGTTTTATTGTGAAATATTTGGTACAAGAGCATTAAAATATTTGGTACGAGAGCTTTAGCCGTAGTTTTTTCCAACGTGACGAACGTAATTCCCATCCTAACTCATTTTTCATATTGGTGCAACTGTCATTTCTTGAGTACCGACTTTAAAGAAACCTTGCAGCTCTATTTTGTATTGTTTCAAGCTTGTCACTTAAAGTACTTTGCCAGGGGTCCCACACAACACAAGCGTATTCAAGCATAGGCCGAATGTATGTTGAATACGCCGTTGATTTTAAACATGCCAGCGCGAGAATTGAAGGTGCTAAGAAGGGGCGGGTGGTGGAAAGTGTTCCATTTCGCATCTTAGCATTGCCGATTCTTTCCCATGTAAGTGCTGGACTACAACAGGTGTGCTCGTCCCTGGTGTGACTGTAGTAGTCACTCTTAGCAAGCGAATTGTGACACAGCTTCTTTGCCAAACCTTAGTGACGGCAACAGAAAATGAAGCCAGGGAAAGCCCACAGGGGACATTATTTGTAGCTTTCCTAATTATGGTGTCGCAATTACGACAAATGGAAAGGCAAAAGAATAGAAAAACAACTTTTCTGCCGATCGATGACGAACAAACAACCAGTAGACCTTCGGCTGCGTAAATAAAATACACTTAAACCTCAATATAACGGAACTGGATAGAACGAAGTAATTGAAAAATAGGTCTGTCACACATACAGCATTGAAAATATATGTTTACAATAAATATTTGGATATAACGAAGTATTTCCGTGGCAGGTGTGATTTTGTTATAATGAGGTTTGAGTGTACTAGCACAATTCAATGACTCTGAGCTACTGACAGTTCTGCTTCTCAATTCACTTGCACAATTTTAAATTACATGCTCTCTATTGAAATCAATAGTGATGAAAATGTTTGACGCATATGAAATATGAGGGGCATTTAACATGCTGTATGGGCTGTTAAAAGTCTACCAAATGCAGTCTCTGTGGTGCAGTAGTAAAGGTCACTTAAACATCTAAATTTCATGACATTTGATCTGACAATCTAATTAGAAGCAACCTTTCAAATGATCAATTTTGGTTGATTAATAAAATATAAACCTGCACCACTCTAATCTGCTTGTGTTCAGGTATAGTGAAATGTGAAAGTAAGTACAATATTGTGCCATTAGCTTCAGTTTGTGTTTTGAAAGTATTGTAACCAACCACAGCAACTTCCACCATTACACATTGAAAAAAGATACACTGACTAGGTGAGAGGTGTTAGATTACCCTGTACACTTTTTCATGCGATACAACATCCCCACTATCTATTTCTTACACAATCGTTTCCTGCTACGTTTATGGCACTCCAATATAAACTTGAAAAACAACTGATTTAACGAAACAGCCTGTCTACATAAAAACACAGCTACTCACAATACCCGTCACGGTAAAGTATGGTTTGTACCCCAATCATGAACAAATTGTGGCATGCAAATTATGAGAAACAAATTACCGAGATTTCTGAATTCACTTGAGAATTCTAGATTTCAAACCTTTAACATAACATGGTTTTAGCTGGTTTCGCTTATTCGGTCACTTTCGTAGCTTTTTTGTTGTAGTATGAATTGTATGCATTATATTGTCCGCGTTATGCATTTTCTGCGTGTATATTATTTTGCCCTTTCAGAATACTCTGTACCTCTGTCTCACACCTGCTATAGTCTCTGTTCGAGACTGCAGTATCAATAAATAAATAAATAAATAAATAAATAAGAAGTGTGCTTGATCATGCTGTAAAATCACATTGTCGGACGAGTGACTGTTTCCTCACTTGTACTTATATTTATGCATTGTACATTATTCTGTTTTTTTATTGCATTATTTATTTATTTATTTATTTATTTATTTATTTATTTATTTATTTATTGATATACCCTCAAGACTCGGAGGGCGTTACACAGAGGGTGGGCACAATACGAAAGCGGCAAAAGTTATAATAACAGCATTAAAGGAAATAGAACAAATCACAATGGTGAAGAAAAATGAAAAAAACTAAAGACATGAGCAGGCAAAGAACAGTAGCCTACAGTCACACCATCAAGTGTTTTGAAACTGGTGACTTGAACAGCCCTTGATCCTTAGTGGGAGCAATGGAGGGGGTAAGGTGGTTCCAATCTCAGCTTGTCTTGAGAAGATTGCAGAAAATGGTTCGTGGGGCAAAAGGGAATGGCTACTTTATTCCAGTGGTCAACACGAGATGAAAAATATGCAGGCTCCCCGATTAATTTCTCTCTAAGTACTTGATTATGAAAGAAAATTTTGTGGAAGAGTGACAGACGAAATATTGTTCTTCTAGTGGCCGGATCAGGAAGTTATAGAGCAGATTTCGTTAAGGTCACGCTGGCAGTCTGAGCATAGTTGTTAAGAAAAAAGCGGGCTGAGCAGTTTTGGACAACTTCTAAAGCTTCCATTAAATGTTGATTGAGCTGGGTTCCAAATCGCAGATGCGTATTCTAATTTTGGTCAGACTAATGTTTGGTACAGCTGTAATTTGAGG